ATTTAAAAGATTTTGTCACTTGCTCAAACTATAAAGGAAACACAAACCCCGCGAATACATGTCATGTTTGTTGACAGAAGTTTAGCGCTTTATAAATTCACAAGCGAAATTTATCATTTCTTACCTCTTCAATGTTGATTTCTTCAAGCACCGGTGGCAGAAGCAAAAAATTAAATATATTCATAACGATATCCACAATTTCATCTAAACAATTTTACATTTTACGAATCAACACCAAAAAGTTTTTTATACTCCGTTTATGTGTAAATAAAGGCCAAATTAAACGGGTTTTGACCAAAAATATAGGATAGTAATTGATCCCCCTCAGCCCCTGTAAATGATACAACTGCAGTAATTATTATCAATAATCACACGGGCAGCGTCAAACACTGTTATTTTAATTTTGCTTTTACACTATGTAATTATTTTTGGTACGCTATCAGGTCGGTCACGACGAACTGCAGCCGAAAGACGCATGCATCCGACGAAACGACATGCTGCTGTTTATTCGGCTAGTGGCACCGAAGTGCAGTGGGGTGAATTCACTGCCAAAGGGAACTGGCCGTTAATAAGAGAAAAGTTTAGGCGGCGCGTGGCGATTGAACCCATTAATAAAGTTTGGTTAAACATAAACTGAAATAAACTTAAACTAAAGCCCCTTGCTCTAAAGCTCAAGGAAAATTACTACTTATTGCACCTCTCCAAAAATTGCGATACTATGATGAATTGTACCTTCGTAAGAAAATCCAATACTCCCGTAAAGCTCGGATACAAAATTTATAAACGAAAGCCACTTCCTAGAAATCAGCGTTTAGCAGCACGTTCCAAAATACAGTCACGAAATGAAAATATTACCCAAACTCTTCCTTTCTCAGTATTTCCTTGAAATCGAAGTACTCTCGGCAACTTGTCAGCAAGCTCTTGTGAAAATCAGCACCGGATGAACACTGAAAATTTCAGAGTAGTCACTACAACGAGAATATATTTCTGGCACGTATATTTTATATTAGTGCAGGCAGTATTTAAGCCTCATCAAAGCTATTCCTCATTCCATAAGGGCCATAATCTGACAACTGTCACTGACCACTTGGCTTGACTTACGCTAGAGCGAAATATACGTGCAGCAAACCATCTAACTAATGAGAATTGGTAAATACCTGGTATATGCACTGGAAAAAAGGAAGCGAAGTCACTTCACTGAGAAGACATAGAATGTACGCGGTGCGCAAGGCAAGCAACAGTTCATGCGTGGGAAGCGTATTGCGGAACGAAGTATAATGGAATGAATTTCTCTGCGAAATCCTCGGCATCTCTTGAACGCCTATGCACGTATCGTGCAGAGAAAGCTATCTCAAGGAGTGAACGCCGATACGCAGCTAGCTGCAGACCTCATACTTTATCTGTTTCCTGATCATGGAATGGTGTCGGTAAGAATCTGTACGACTGCTATCGAGCCGATGTTGATCACCATCTAAGCAACGTCGTTAATAAGAAGAGGCACTGTTAAGAGGCGTCAAAAATGAATGAACGGATGACCTGTAACTGGAAGAGATTAGGAGAACGGGTGCCCCAAACTCGTTTTTAAATCGAATACCAGCAATCGATAAAGGTACGCCAATCGCATCCATATTTTCGCTAGCGAACTGAAAGCGAGAAAATCGGTGTTCAAAAAGAAGTCAACCAAAATGAATTTATGGAGACGATTCCACCGCCATTAATCACGCGATAAATTCTCTTCCAACGGAAACAATGTCCGGTTCAGGTTTTCTGATTTTGGATGATTTCAACTGCTAGCAGTTCGTTAAATATTTTGATGCCAATGAACGCTAATTCGACGTCTATGAGATAATGTTGACTCAAGATTCGTTGATTACAGTTGGTATGATTTCTTAAAGATCCAACGAGAGCAGGTTCATTATACAGTAAAGCTTAATGTTTGTGGATAATCATATTTTCCATTCACGAACCTGAAACGAGAACAGTGATATTCTGAAAATGTTGCATCGAGAAAAAAAATTCCAAGCGTAAGCGCTGTCAGAGAGAGAACAGTTTTGTTACACTCATCATGCGATGTTAACGTCTCTCACTTCATTTAGCATTTCACAAGTCTACTTCGGGACTGAAGCCTTCGATCAGAAAAACATTACTGACAACCCTGATCTTCAAATTACTTCCTTTACATACTCTATGAAACTCAGGCAATGTTAACACCAAGATCGCAAAGCAGCATGTGATCAATGTTTCAACTTCATTAATGAAGAAGAAGAATAAGACAAATAAAATAAAGAGAATATAAAAGCAAAACACTGGTAATATATATATTTTACATATAATATTACGTACGTCAAAAGATAAATCACTACAGATTTCTGTTTTATTTCACAAGACTGGTCTGTACCTACTGAGACTACGAACTCAGATCAATGATATTAGGAATGTGAAAAAGCACAACTTAACAGGTCTTGGAGATTATCTTTAGAGACTATTATTGTAGACTGAACTGACAGTAACTACCCTTTGACTGTCTGATGTTGCATCGTTAGCTTGTGGTCCTCTCGTCGCCAGTTCTCCCACCAGCTGTCTCACCCAACTGTCCTCGTTTCCGATATCGCTATGTCGTCATTCTATAATTTTCATAACATCTGACCATCTTGCTTATCTCGACTGATCGCTCAACTGCAAGATGTTACAAAATCGTTATTTTACTAAATCTGCTAAAAAAAGACTGCCGCCATGTACGATGAAATGGGTAACTTCTCATCAGGCCATCAAAGTTGTAACTGTCATTCTGGAAACTTCAATCGCTGAAGAAACGGTAGTCAAATTCAGAATTGCTGATGCAACCTCAGAGTTTTTCAATGAACTTGCCTCTCATTCAACCAACTGTTCTCCTTCAGTTACTACTAAAATAAATCATATCAGCTAAACAATTTAAACGGTATCTAGACTTAATTCAAGTAAACATTACGTTTAACAACAGGTGTTCATTTATTTTCGTGCTAGAAGTCAGGAACCCGGCAATTATAGAAGTTATCTACAAAAATCACAAAATATCACTACCTACAAGACCGAACAGCAGAGTGTGATGAGCGATGCAATGATAGTTAAATTGCTACAAACAGTTTGATTTACCTATTATGCAAATAAGAAAAATTTACATTTTATCTCTTAAAAAGAAAAAAAAGCAGTGAATTACCGAAATCAAGATTGCACTCAGTTTCGAAACTTGCTTCAGGTTCTTTCCATTTTCTACCGCAGCTTGAACCAGTTTTTTGCCTACTGAGCATGCCACTTCTTTATGCTCGAACTTGCCTGAAAACGAATCAGTGAAAATTAATTTGCTCTAACGATGATAAAACGTCAACAGATAAAACATTACATTAACATAGATTATTCTTATTTAAAAGAATCGTACTCAGAGGTTACAACGGCAGATAGATGCATTTTAATTTCGTTATCCAATCAACGAGTCCTACAGAAAAAAGGAAGAGAATTCTTCGATTTAATCATTTCAAGTAATGCCATTTGATCAAAAGCTGAAATTCATAGCTTTAGTAAAGGTGGAAAAATCAGTATTAGTTCAAACTATAAAAAGCAAGAAGTAATAAAAATAACAAAAAGAATTTGCTTTATCAGTGCTAAAAGGAAGCGATTCACAATTCACCGACTCCCCTCGAGAATCCTGACCAGAAATCATACAAATGATCAGTGATATAGCCATGGCTACATATGAAGGAACGAATACTCTTGAAACTACCAAGAACTTTCAAATATCCAGAAGTTGCTTTCACAAACTTTGCGTCGAAAGGGTAGTTGCATGGTACAAAAACAACAATATAAAGCTCTCTATTAAGTAGAAAGAAACATTGCATTTGGTTTAAACAATGTATTTTGGAGATTGATAAAACTGATAGTGTTTATCATCAGAGTAACAATTAGTAGACGCAAAACTACAGTGGATGCATACCAGTATTAGTTAAAAACTGCTGCACAAAATAATGGCAGGTACTAAACTCGTACACGACCCGATTACATGGCGCAGTGCCTCATTGCTCTGCTTATTACTGCAAAAGAGGCCCATTTAAACAAGCTATCGATTTAGTTTTCGAATCCCTGCAGTATCACACGCATCCCGGACTGGTGCTTGTTAAAGCAATATTCTGCTTTGCATGAACGAGATTTCAGGAGTTGCCAGTCGTTAAATACTCCCACCTAGACATTTAAATCGAGGGCTTTTAGATCA